GTCAGAATGCAACTTAGTAAATCCAGTTTTGACCAGCTTTCAGAAAACCAGGCTCTGAGAGCTTCACTTTTTTCACATTGCACTTTTTGTCGCTGTCCAGTGTGATCTCCATAATGAAGTTACTGCATAATTGAGCCAAGGATCTTATCCAGTGATTTCATGAAAGAAACCAGGTAATTTGGAGTGAAGTACCTGGGTTTGCCGGGTCAACAGTAGTGCCCCATAATCTTTAAGCCATGTGGCTCCAGCCCTTAAACACCTCTCCACACTGCTGTGTCTAAAAGATAAGTGCACGCGTGGGGTATAAGACGTGAGAGCAGCAAAGATAAAAAAAGAAACCACAAAGAGATTAGGGTTAGATCTGAACATGAAGTGGGAGCAGGATCTGATTTCTTAGTTGGAAGCTTTTAGCGCAGTCCTCTGTTTGACCGGTGAGTACTCGTTAATGGTAGAATAAATTCTAATGGTAGGAGTGAAACCGTTCAGTGGGTGTACAGTGGCTCTGTGCTAACTTGCAGCCTTGGAGCCCTGGCTTCAAATCTGTTCCTGTGGTGCTGTCTGATGGAGTTTGTACGTTCTCCTTGTGTTCAGGCGGGTTTCCAGATACTCCGGTTTCTTCCCACAGTCCAAAGACAGGCAGCTCGGTTAATTGGCTTCTGGGACAAGTGGCCCTGGTGGGAGTGTGTGTGTCAGAGTGTGCCCTGTGATGGCCTGGGATCCTGTCCAGGGTGTATCCCACCTTGCTCCGACTGCCTCTGCTCCCCTGCGATCCCGATTTGGATGAAACGTTTAGAAAAACAACAGTCCGAATCTCTTTGGCTTACACGGGTCTTGGGGGAGAAACAAATTAATAATATTTCCTCTCGCAAGTCTGGAGTCCTTCAGAGAGATTTGAAATGAAGCAGAATTTCTGAAAACATAAATTTGCCCCCTTTAAAAATATAGATAATATTTTTAAATATATATAACACAATTATGAAGATGTATTTCAATAAGTAGTAACTACTGTACATCTATTTCATTTCAAAAAGGGGACTTTCAGGAAACTGTGACCTGCAAATTGAGCGCAAGCTCTCTGACGTCCAGTGATAGGGGTCATGATACTTACAACAAAGAAGCCTGAGAATGGAACTGGATGTTTATGTGTTCTATATTTATAATAGTTGTATCAGCTGGAATAAAAACGAAGCCTTTTATATCCCATTTTTTATCCCAGCCAGATGGCAGAAAACGGTTTTCTCTTGTGGTTCAGTGTATTGTTTGGAGAGCCTGGTCTACAGTGACTAAATTAAACTCTGTTGGGATATAATGTTGATGCATCACTTCTTGATCCTTTGCATATCCACTTCTTTCGGAATCCCCCAGGCCACAATCATCGCCAGCATCCAAATAATACTTGAGATAAGTTTTAAAAATTCAGAAATTTTCATGTGCACTTCTTAAACGGTTTTGTGGATGATGTCCAATACATGACATCCCTAACCCCATTTTACAGATTGTTTCAGGAAAATGAAATACATGTATTTCTGTCGTGTCTGTACACTGATGACATAATGGAATTGCTGAAATTATTAAAAATATATGTCACTATTATTAAGAATACTAAGGCACTGCGTTCAGGTCGCAGTCTCCCCTGGAGGCGTGGGTTCAAATCCCACGTCTGACAGTCTGTTAAGTCTTATCAATAAAGTCTTATCTATCTATCGATTTGGCAGACCTTTTATATAAGGGGACTAACAGTATTGTGCGGCCAAGTCATAAATACAGTACGTAAAAAATAGAACAGAAATTTTGTTTAATATCTAAATTATTCAATATAACAAAAAAGGTCTGCAAAAATAAAAAAATGCATGCGTGAAACACAGCATACTGATAAAACAGGAGTTTACATGTCCTAATTGATGCTACAGCATGTACAGTATCGAAACACTGTGAAGAACAAAGTCAATTCAAGTCAGGCTCCTGTTGCACAGAAGTTAGAAATGAATTCATTTCAGGTTTTCCAAACTCTTGAAAAAGGAATGTCAGGGGCTGGATATCGGATACTCTATTGGATATTTTGGAAGCTAGTATCCTGTTTAAGGCTTTCCAACTCATAAACCTGAAAAGGATCCACCTGCTGTACAATGCAAAGAGAGTCTGATCTGTACCCCTCTCGTGATTAACCTGCTGTTGTAGATTTCTGTCACTGCAGCTTCATGAATAAGCGTGGTGATGTTGGAAACATGATCTGCTATAAGCGCATCGTTAGATTGCAGACAGTTTAAAAACAATCCAAAATGTGTAATCTGTTTTTTTAAAGTGTGCCGATCTATGCAGAAAGCAAACAGTCCTCTTAAAAAAGGCAACAAAGGAAAGATGTGGGTGTAAAAAGAGGAAAGATGTGGGTGTAAAAAGAGGAAAAGAGGTACAGTAGTGTCCTCAAATAGCCACCACTATAAATATTTATGAATGAACAGAGCCATCTGTGCCTGATTGTGGAGGCTGCTCACTCTACCTGAAAAGCTATTAATAGCAGTTCTGCCTCGGTTCCCCCAGGAGGGTGGAGGTGCTGGGGTTGAGGTGGGGGTGTGCAGGCTATTTTTAGAAGCTATCAGTGAGCCCACATTGCAGAAGCAACCTACTGTCACTACGCGTAGCGCTGCCCCTGAGGAGTGAGGCTCATTAAATGAAAAGAACGAAAGGCGAAGTGGAAGTGACAGAGCAAGCCGCGAGCATGGGTATTTTTAGAAAAAAAAAGCCCCCCTGTGAATCGGTAGAAATAGCTCTCGTGTTTTTTTTTAAAAGATTTTTACATGAATGGAAAATTGCTTTCCACGTTGTGGCTTTGGCATTGATTACATAATACAGCATACCAGGCACAACCCAATTTCACTGAGTTAATGTCCTTGTTAATGTATATGCAAAATGTAACTAAGAGTCCATTTCTAATTGAAGATCCCATTGCCTTTCATTGACGTGAAGCGGGCTGTTTAGGATTCAGGATGGTGAGGGCTTTTTGTTTTTGCACATGTTTCAAGCTTAAGAAAAGGTTTTGCTCTTTCAGAGCCCTGCAAGGATAACAGAAGATATGCAGCCTCCTGTGCATCATTGCAAAATGATTTTTCCATGAAAGGTGTACCCAACAAGCGTTTGATTAAGTGGAGTATGGGGAAACTAGATAGGATACTACTACTCCCCCAGGACAAAAAAAAACATAGTAGGTGCGATAGTGAAACACGCTTTAAATCTGCCACTCATAACACAAAGAGCAAACAAGACTGCGGTAGCTTTAACACCTATTGGACATTTGAGTTTGTATTTTAGTGGAGGTCTCAGCTGCTTTCTTGAACCATTAACAGGATCCTTTCCAGCCATTTAAGGCTAAAAACAATAAATAAAGTTCTAATGAAGTCCATTATCAATTCAGTCAAGGTTAGAACTGAAGGAGCACAAGGGTGTCTACAAGACGCAATTTGAGATCTTCTAGATGAGTCTAATGGTGCTGCCTTGAGTCCCAGGCAGTTTTCCGGGCAGGAGCTCTCTTTGGCTGACAGCCTCTCTCACCTGTGTCTGACAGCAAAGTGCATTGACGAAGAAGGCAACCCGTGGAAAGGGAGGGATCAATACTGGGCCTCACTCCAAGTATAAGAAAAAAGCAATTAAAGCCCTGTTATTCATTAACATATTGGCATTAGTGAAAAGACGAAGATGAGAAATAAGCTATCAATGGTTTCCCTGTACCACTTGGTGCCTAGGGGACAAGATTAATGATATGCCTTCTATAAATAGTGGGCGATTGGTCAGGCACGGTTGATGGACCAGGAGTTTACCCTACCTGAAGCACTATTTATAGCACATCCATATGACAGTGCGTCAGAGAACAGATCTATTCTTAGACCCACTCTACATCTTATTGACCTTGAGGCAGCTGCTACCAACAAAAAAAAAGATACAGCCTCCCAGGACCCATTCTTCTGCATTCACAGAGACTTTGTGAATGAGACACACACACTGATATCTCTCCAGTCATTGGAAATAATCAGTGAAGCTACCCGAATTTAAAAATGGCTCGCTCTTCCCTAAAAAAGAGAGATTGTGATTGTGCATTGTGCGGCATCTGGTCTGTAATTCTCACCTTTCAATACACAATGTCCTTGGCTCCTGGGGATTTTGTTAACATCGGCTTGTGTTTCAGTTTACAGATACAAAGGTATGAAAAAAATCCACCTGTCATCAGTAATCTTCAGCATCTCACTCAAAATGATTTTTCATTACTATTAGAAAAAAAAATAGGGCCTTTATTAAAAGTCAGGGGAGGTGGAAATCAATTATTTTGGTGCTCCTGACTGAAGATGGTGGAGTTCTGTCTGTGACGTTACTCATGAAGTCAAAAGTGACGTCAGTATAATGGAGTTAGAATAGGTCTGGCAAACACGCACAATAGCCTCTTCTTCTGCCCACCTGATCCTTTTGTCTTACAAGGTCAGTGTTTCGCAGAGATTCTCTGTGAGACTCATTGAAACAGCCCAGAATTGTAGGTCAGTGTTACCTTGTGTTCTTTTGTTTTCTTCCTTGAAGTGTGTGTGAAATCCATCGTTCAGTTCTGTCTTTCAGGGCTGTTCAAAAGCTGCCTCCCACTTTGCCCTGTTCGCTCTCGATGTAAATTGCAACTCTCAAATTCTCAGTTGTGTCAGGATGGGTAACTGTTCTGCAATTTGTATGATTCATCAATGTGTTTGTCTTGAAAATCATAATCTGTGCCTGGCGAGCATCCTGAAGATTGTTTTTTCATTTAAGGCTCTTTAACTTCTACTCTATGACAGATGACATATAATAATAGGGCATATTTGATATGTCTTTAGAACATCTGGCAATTCTGTAGACATCACTGGGGGGTCTCCTATGCTTAATGGTATAAATGTGTTCAATTCCTGTTGTTTTACTACAAAATGAAGTTCATCCAAGGCGAACGATTAAAGAACCTCTGAATTAACCTCCTTTTTCTCTCTCTGTCTCAGTTTTGATGTTGAAAATGGTCTGTCGGTGGGTCGCAGTCCCCTGGATCCCCAGGCCAGTCCAGGCTCCGGGCTTGTCCTGCAGGCCAACTTCCCCCACAGCCAGCGGCGGGAGTCCTTCCTGTACCGCTCTGACAGTGACTTTGACCTCTCACCCAAGACCATGTCCAGGAATTCCTCCACCGCCAGTGAGCTGTGAGTACCTACCGCCTGACTGGCTGACCTCTGAACTCTAACCCTCTGACCCCCCCAAATCGAGACATGACAAGAGATACAACCGGAGTAGGCTTCAAGATTTTCAGCCCAATTAGCAGAATTAGCCAAATAAAATTGTTCGGCCTGAACTTTTGTTTTGTCTGCATAGCAGGAGCCACAAAAGAAAAATAAAGTGTCACCTTTTGTGATGTTTTATAGCTGTTGACAAGTCTTAAGACTTCTTAGGCACAGTGTGGAGTTGTAGTATACAGTACTGTGTGTTTATTATGAGCCTCAGTTTACTAAAAGCCACTGCTAGCTGTTATTTTGTAATTATGACACCATGTCTTAAAGGTGTAAGACTTTTGTACTGCATTGTTTGTGTACCGTAATCATGTGGTTTACAAGTTAAGGGGAAAATTCTGTATGTTGAGTCCAATAAAATGACAAGTCTAACTGCAGACTCACTACAAGCAAAATATGCTTTTGTTTCTCTTATGACTTGGTTTATAATCAGATTTATTTTGAAATAAAATAACCTATCAACAGTCAAGAGTGAGTGTAATTGCCCAGCCTCGAAATGCATTGCACTCACTTCCACAACTGAGACCTGTCTAACAGATGACTCAGCAGATGAAAGTGCTTCACGATACACTAGGGATTTTTCACCATTACCTACATAAAAAATGAACTTCAAGAAATTGGCTTTGACATTGCGCTTAGTGTCAGTGGCCTAACCAAAATCGGACACGACATCAGCATCCCAGAGATAACAGACTCAGTTATGTACCCTGTAAGCTCCTATTGCTCTGTGGGTTTGGAGATCTGTCCCGGGAGTTCAAGTGTAACCCCCCCCCAGATAACCTCACACAGCTCCTGTTCCCACCACAATTACAACCAGGTTGGCTTGTGTCCGCTTTGTTAGAAAATAAATAAGGAGTCAGAAAGGGGCGTTTTTCTGTTTGCTTTTCCAGCCCACGTCAGTCCTGTTTCCCTTGTGTCGACAGCTCGTTTGGTGATTAATTGGTCACGGGTCACAAACTCTGCCTGTGTTTTTAAAGGGAAGGGGGCTCGTGATGGTAGGAAGCGAGCTGCCTGCTCCATCAGAAAAGACATGTGAAATTATTTTCTGAAAGAACCGCCCCTCGCTTGAGTCTGCAGCTGTGAAGCTCTCCTGCCCCAGTACAGTTGGTGCGTTTTGGTGACGGATGTAGGCTCTAATCCCATTTAAAATGGGGATTAATTAATAGGGAACTACTGTAACTCCAGAGACAGGGAAAGGAATAGGGTGTGCAGGGTACATTGAGTGTGCATTAGGGTCATCTCAGGTTCAAAAAGGGGCTTTATTGGTTCTCACAATTTACAGACTTCCCTCTACTAACATACCAGTTCCCCTGTTTGTTTTCTTTGAAATGGATTGTTTTCAAATGGTTTCCATTTAATCTAACTCGTAATTGTGATAAGGGGCTTGCATATCTAACCAGATCTGTGTTCTGGAAGGTGACACCTTTACTCGCTTCTCTGGACTAAGATCATTGTAATGGAATGACGCTCTTCAGCATCCTGCAGGGTGAAACTGAGGAAGCGAATGACCTAACGACAGTATAGCTCTTTCAGAAATGTGCATGGTTATACAAAGCCTTAGCAGCAGCCATACACTGCCATATGTGTAAAGTATGAACTTGCTGAATTGCCCAAATTGAGATTAACTCAAATTAAGACAAGTAATGCGCAGTAAAAAAAAATACTTTTGAAAATGGCTTTACAGTTAAATACACTATACCAGGTATATTGCACTTAATCACTAAATGTTACCCAAAATGGATCATATGTCAGTGTTCCAGAGACATAAGACTCATTTTATGTACTCTATAGGATCTGCCCAAACTGAGGATCCTGGAGGTCTGGTGTGTTTGCAGGTTTTCAAGCCTTTTTTTTTAAAAAGCAATTGTTGCTACTTTTAATTGATAAATTGTTTCATTTTAGCCATTAATGAGCTGATGTAGATCATTGAGTTTAGAGCCGAAAGAGAAAACCAACAGACACACCAACCCTCCAGGACTAATGATGGACCACCCTTCTGTATGGGAATGGAAAATTTGGTTTTGGAATGTGGAGTATGGTGCATCCAATCCAGCAAGTTCAGTCATGTCTTATTCTCCCACTTTACAAATTCTTTCAGGAGTCACTACCTATTATTTAGAGTGATTTGCAGAGAACATCTTCCGCCCAGATATCTTCTCAAGAGTGTGTCATAGCTTTAAAACCCTGCTGCAAATTGTGTAATTGCAAATTTCAAGACAAAAATATTATTGTAATGTATTTATGCATATACCAGTAATTTATTTAAGCTCGTCTTGTTTGGTCACTTTGTATTTTTTTTCTCTTCCACAGACATGGAGAAGACATGATCGTAACCCCATTTGCACAAGTAAGTCTCTAACGTGTCTAGGGTCCCATATTTCAATGTTGTATTGCAAGGATGGAAAGCTCGGGTCACCAATATTTCTCCTTTCTAGCAAAATTGTATGATTTTTTACTTGAACCAATTACCTCCTTAAATGTTTAAAATACAATAGCACCCAACCTTTACAAACTTAATTTATGAAGTCTGCTGGATGGTGTCTCATCAGGACCAAGGCTGGCCAAAACGTATGTAAGGCTTTTGTGGACTATTTGCACACTCAATTAATGTCACAGTCCATTTAGACCTCAGAGCTTTTTTATAAAGCCAGTTATTTTTGGTAGACCCACCTGATTTGGAATAGCCGATTTAGAGTGGTGTAATTTCTCGGCTCATAGCTGCAAACCCCCAGCCGCACAAGGGGGAGAATGGGGATGTGTAGTCAAACTCCTCCCATTCATCTTCCTTGGAGCCAATCGCATTTTAACACATCATCAGCTATGCAGCTGTGTTCCAGGGGCTGAATGATGATTGGTGGAGAGGCATATCACCTCTGCACTGGAGCTTGGAAGCAGCAACATTACAAACTGTGCTTGGTGTAGCTTTCCCATTTCTTATAACAAGATAATGCTACCATAAGAGTCCTATATTTCCAGCAAAACCAGTTGCACCTATTTAAGCACGACATTTGCAGGACACCAGAAGCAAGAATGTGCCCTACCAAGTATAGACCTGTTCCTTGGTTTAGAAATCCATGATTTGAAATTCATTGTTAGCAACTCTTTTTATACATAACATTGAGATGGCCTCCAGCCTGACACTTAATTATTGGAAAGAGGTGCTTACACAGTGTACCAAAGCAAAAATACAAATGCAAATTAAATTATTCTAACTATAACCGAGCACAAGCAAGGTGTTTGGAACTCTGTCTCTGATGGCTTATTGAGACAAATGAGAGTGTTTTAAAACTAATGCTCAACTCCATAATTCAACTGTGCTATGGTTTATTACTCTATAATGGGCAATATCAAAACTGTAAAAATGTGAATAGGGTGTTATCTTATTCTGGGGTGTGCTGTTTTGTAGGTTCTGGCCAGCTTGCGAACAGTGAGAAGTAATTTTGCTGTTCTGACCCACCTGCAGGATCGTGTGGCCAACAAGTAAGGACTTTGTAAGACTTCACAAATATATAGCAAGTGATTAAATGTACTCTAATCATCCTCAAGCTTCTACACAAGGAACAAAAAGGTCCATTAAACAGCACATTTGTTCATAGCCAAGGCATATTAACATTAATTGCAGAACAAAAAAATGGGTGGAATTCTGTAGTTAAAAGTTCCAAAAGCAGTTTTGATTTGCAGATCAACCTATTGCGACTGTACCTGGGGATTGAACTAGTGGGAATAATGCAGCTCCACATAGAGTGTCTGTTTCTTTCCTACAGGAGATCATCTGGCAGCAATCCGCCATCAGTGTCCAAGCCCGGTCAGCCAGGTGAGAGGTTGCGATGTGGATACTGCTAGTCAATGTAGCTGATGCTTTATCATCTTAAGTGATTTACAGACAGGAGAGGGTAAGATCTATATCAGTGGCTCATACTGCAGAGACATTTCCACTTTTACAGCTCATCTCTAGGACAGAACGTAGTCTGTTTCTCTCCCTTTTTTCAGGTAAAGCACATGGGCTCAGTAATATTGTCAGGGATCTGAAACAGCAGACCCCTGGCATCCATGCTTTTACAATATCCTGCCTCATCACCTTTACTTGACTCTCACTACAAAATATTTAAAACACATACTTTTTCATCCCTTTTTTCCACAATTTTAAGTACAGTTTTTAGTCTGCTTGGAACAAGGCTCCAGGCATCACTCCTCAAAGTCTTTCCCTAGCCGAGCTAACCAACTGCTTAATTCAACTCACTTAGTATTGAAATCAAGGTGTCTGCCAATTCACAGGTGTAAGATACCCCTTAACCCAATGGGATTGGGGCCAGGTAGGATGGGAACTACGTTCTACTACACACCAAAAGGCCTGTTTTGTGTTTGCTTTGTGTGTAGGAAGCATGTTGTCTGAATTTGGGGATTCCAAGCATGTGCAGAATTGTTTGCCCTTTTCTTTTGTACATCTAGAATGAAAGCTTGTTAAAAGAACTGATCCTTCCCCTTTCCTGCAGGGAGCAGTGTACAGTAAGGCCTCAATGGATGTGTTCCCGTCTATAAACTTCGGCAGAGGTGCAATTCCCCTGTAAGATAAAAAAGCAGGGAAAGATACGTTTGACCAGTCACCTCACCTCAGACCAGCAGTGACTTCAGCACAACACCCCCACGTCACCCCCATCCCATCCTCAACTCTTGGTCAACCAGCCAGACCATTCCCATTCATCAACTTATGGTGTTCCGTAGTCGATTTCAGATTTTATCTTGCTTGGGATCTTTCTTTTTCAGGCTGCCACTTCTTTGCAATCTCACTCTGTGCTGGAATGCTCGCTAGGGATTATTCAGGGCAATCCTTCCCTAGTTCTCTCATTTAAAATTGCTGGAAGGCTGCACTGTGCACATCATTGCTTCCAGAAGTACAGCTTCCAGACTGAGCAGACACCATCAGTCACACTTCCATCCCCTGACAGATTGCACAGCAAATGCTTTGATCGACAGTGTCTGTCAGTACAGACCTATATTTGGAAATCACTGTGCCGTTAATAGCAGCCTGTTAAATTGCTGAATTGGAATGACAGGAAGGTGTTACTGCAAATAGGCTTGAGAAATCGAACTTGAAAAAATTGACCTATAAGCACAATGAGATCTACTGTACTTAAACACGTCCCATTATCAGAATCATTTCTGTGATATTGATGCTTAATGCAACTGTTCTTAATTCACCTCCTGGTCTTAATTGAACTGACAAGTTAAACAACTTATGAAAGATAATGGTTAAAAGGGATCCTTCAATGAATTTAAGACAACAAATTAAACAGTTTGAATTCATTCTGTTATCATTTCAATTGTGTAACTGCAAGCTGAGCTGAACCAATTGTGCGGTCCTCCAGTACCAGGATTGGGAACTTCTGTGCTAGTTTGGTTGTGTTTATGGGTATGAGAAAGATGGCTTAGCTTCACAGCTGCTTTTTCGGTGGCAGCTACTGATTTAAACCAATTAAAACAGCAATTTTCAGAGAAGCAGTTTTCCCAGAATACCCCAGAACCATTCCATTCCAATTCTGTGTCTGACTCTGCAGGGTTACTTGCCTCCAAGATGCTAAGTAGCCATATTTAAAATAGAATCACTGCATAGCTCTAAACAGTAAAACAAGCTAATCATTGCAAGCATCCAGTCTTGTCTCTCCATGGTCTTTGTGGGGGACAAACACCATTTTCTCACTGGAGAATAGACACAGGCATATTAACAATGGAGTTAAAAAACAGAAAAGAAAAATCTTTCCTTCTGCAGTTGTGCGGCAGACTGCATTTGTAAACACAGGTCAACGTTTCCATGACAACCCAAAATGGCCGCACTTGCACTTCAAAAATCAACAAGTGTTGGGTTAGTTTGAAGTCAGGTCATGTAAAATAAGAACTGTGGTGGCTTTTCTAGCTAATATGCACACACAGAACATGTTTTGGAATTAAAATAGCAAGAAGAGTGGGTAATCTTGCATAGCTTAATGATCAAGGAGACCACCAAGTCTCAACACAAAACATACAGGGGGTTTCTGTGCCCACCTGCTGGAGGGCCTCTGAAGGATAAGGCAGTGTCACATAAGCTTTCTTGTTGGACTTCAATACCAAATAACTGCTCACTCAGCTTCTGCTACACACGGTAGCAGCCTTAAAATAGAGGAGTTCTACACAAGATTGTCTGTGTTGTGCTGCCTTGCAAAAGATCAGAGGTTTAAGTGAGAGTGAAAGATGAAAGTCCTGAGGCTGTGAGACAGTCGAGTGGCAAGGGGATCACTGCCAGTGAGGCAGGCAAGGGTCTGGGATGCTGAAGCTATAAGACTTCTGGTCAGAATCTGGGGGGGGAGAGTCAAGTCTTTCAACACCTGTGTTTGTGCCCACAGAGGAGGCCTACCAGAAGCTGGCAGTTGAAACACTGGAGGAGCTGGACTGGTGCCTGGACCAGCTGGAGACCCTGCAGACTCGCCATTCTGTCAGCGAGATGGCCTCCAACAAGGTAAGACCCCTGCCCGCACGCCAGGTCCGGCTCCCTGGTGTGTCAAAGCCACTGTCCAGCACTGACCTGGCGTCTGTATGCACAAAACCACTTCATTCCTGCGTTACTGTGTGTGATGCACTTCTGAGCTGGGAAGAAATAACTAATTCCAGTCACTAAACAATGTTCCTGACCTGCTTAAAGAGCCTGGTAAATTTAGTATCCTGAAAACTTGTCTTTTCTGTTTGCAAAAGCAGGGTAAACACAGGTAAGCCCGGGTAAAAACAGGGTAAAGCCTCATGCTTCTTATTAAATGTAACCACCAGAGTGTCTGATGACAGCTGTTATTCAGGCACCATGGGCTTGGATTCACAGGTACACTGAGAGGATAGCACATTCTGGTGTGGCTTGTTGCAAGCTTACAGCTCTTTCTTGGATATACTGTAGACTGCTGTGTCCTGCATTTGTATTTAATTGTGTAAGCAGTATACAGTTTAAAACATGATGTTGTTTTTAGTTTTGAAGGAACTGTGTGGTGTGTGTTGTATGTTATAGAATGTGAATGAATGATCTGTCATTGTGTTGTGTTGCCTGCCTGTTCAGTCACTCTTCTGTGGTCCATGATTGGTTGGTTCTCCTGAAGACAGGTGAGTCTGTGTTTCAGGTTTAATAGGTTCTCCCGTAGGTGACTGATTCTGTGGTTCCTGATTTGTTCTCCTGTAGATGACTGATTCTGTGGTTCATGAGATGTCCTAATATATCTAACCCTGCTCTTGCCGAGTGCCTGACAAACACAATATTCTGGTGCTCGGTTCTGGTGCTAGACTGTGTTTCCCTGTTTTTCAGTCATCTGAAGCTGCAGTTGAACACCTTTTGTAGACTGTTATTTCCTTGGATGGGGTTCTTGCAGCCCAACTTGGCAAAGCAAGTTCCTGCGTACATAGTATAGTCCCACGTTCCTTAATCTAAACCTACTCTCCAAGGTTTTCATTCAACAAGCTGGTTTAATTCAAAACATTGTGGTTTAGTCATTGGATTTGATTTGCATAATAATAAATACATTTGAATGAATGACAGAAGTCAAACATTTTTCCAAACATATAAGACAAAGGAACTCTGACATTGACATCTGAAACTATATTCCACTTTCTGCAGTATCTACAATCTCTCTAATAATTTTAAAATATATTTTGTTTATATAAAATAATTAATTTACACCAAATTATTTCATTTCGAATTCATTTCATATTTGAATCAAACCTATAATGCAACGAATATTATGGACAGTAACATTTCCATTTGATCAATGCCCTTCTTATTTTAAAATATCTCGCCTTACACAGTATCTCGATGGCCTGGCTTTGCAGTATCCTTGTGTCATGGGTTTGGTTACAAAGAGTCCCACCACCTCTCTCGCGTTTATTCATTCAGACGTGTGCTCACACACGCACACATGAATGAGAGAAGCATCGCTATCAGTGAAAGAGTTAAGCAGTCGATTGATGAGCTGGGCTTTACAGTCAGAGCACATCCCATCCCAACCACCCCCCTCCCCCCCCCTCCTCTGTCTTCCAGGCCCCAATCAGGGCCTTGCATTCCTCCCAGCCTCGGCTGCTGAGAGCAGGCGATTGGCTGGCGGGGGCTTCATGTGTGTGTCTGCGTGTGGGAGGCTGAAGGGGAGATACCTGCTGGGAGCGAGCCTTTTCTGTTTACACATGAATAAGAAACCGAGGGGAAGGAACAGGGAGACTCCAGGCAGCCATGCATTCCCGTGCTGTGTCTGCTGCCGGACACACAGCCCTGCCTCCCTCTCTCCATGGGCGGCCGCCTCCTGTTAGTCCTGTCATCAGCAAGGCTGCTTGGCCGTGGCTGCTTGGGCACCTCGTCTTCGGATAAGCACAGCTCCCTGTCTCATTGCTCTCCTGCGCCGTGTGTGTGTGCGTGCACGCGGGCTGTCGGACGAGCCTGGACTAGACAGACACTTGCAGGCAGAGTGTATCTGATGCTTGGAGCTTTCTCTCCTTCTTTTTCCCCCTTCACGTTGAAATGCCAGAAGTCAGTCGCTTGCTGTCTGTATCGCGGATGCTCATTCAGGTAAGGCAAAGCTGCATTGCTGTTTGTGCTCAGGGTGGCACTGCTGCTCCGTGCTGTGAGGTGCATGCTCTTGCAGGTGTTTTAGTGCAGAGCTCTCGCTGGAAACGCAGTTACTACGGCATGCCTGCAGGTGCTACAGCTGAAGGGTTGCCCTGGAGAAATCAGGAGCAGATTGCCACATTGCCATTGCGTTGCTCTTCACTGTGAATGAAATTCCGTTCCTTTTGTTCTGTCCTGGTGAGGAAGGACTCCTGCCACAAAGGGCAGAGGATTTCTCTTGCGTTTAGGGTTTGGGGAAACGGCTTCATCCCACAGGTGCCTTACAAATGTGCGGCCAGCCAGTGTCTGTTGCATACAACTGGCCCTCACAGCTGTAGCTCAATAAGTCTGTTGCTGTTAAACCTGTTGTTTCAGTGATAATTCCCAGAACTGCGAGTGTGTCTTCTGAGCTGTAGTTTCATTGCTTCTGGTCAATACAAAGCAGGACAGTTCTGATTTTTGAACATATACATGTATTTTTTCTTTTTTGCTGGAAAGAATTTGTTACGAGACCTACAGTACATGCATGATTATATAATAGCATAGCTCCAATGAAGCTACATTTACAGAACAGGTAATACCTCCAATGTCTTCAGCTGCTTTGGCTCAGGCACTAAGATAAGTTACAGTACATGCCTGTAGTACATTACTGAAAACTGTTGCACCAACACCACCATTAACTATTAAAAGACAACTTACTTGCAGCCTTGAATTTGCAAAGATATAGTATATCAGGCAAATTGTATTTAATGTTGGATTATTCAAGTTTCAGTCACAGCACCCTAAACTTCACCTAACCTACAGTGTGACTTGAAAAACCATGAAAAGCTCAAATAAATGAAAGACATGAAATGAAAGTCTGATTGTAGTAGGGTCTGGGAAGGGTTGGTGTGACTGCTGGGGAGGGAGAGAGGGGGAACCTGTTAAATTTGTTGCACTGTCTTTTTGCTTATCTTGTGATTGTTCTGATGTTCCTTGTTCAGAGCAAAATACAAATTTGACCTCAAAAAAAGAACAAGCCATGCTCAGCTGCATTTTACAGCACTTTACCATGCTTACAATATCCTCTCATTGTATCACTGTTTTCTTGATTAGAGCTGCTGAGGTCATGGAGCTGCACTTTCTGTGCATCACTCCAGAAGAAAGGAATTAATGTGTCTTTTTTGTTGTGGTTTGTTTCATTTGCAGTTTAAAAGGATGCTGAATCGGGAACTGACGCACCTATCAGAAACCAGCCGGTCTGGAAACCAAGTATCGGAGTTCATATCAAGCACTTTTCTGGGTAGGTTAAGAAAGGGCTCTGTCACAGAGTTAGGACCAGAGTGATCAGTTTAATTCACCTGAGATTAGCATTAAAGTAGCTGCAATATTTAATACGTTTGAAAACACTGTGGCCTGTACCTTGAATCAAGTGCATCTTTGAAATTATCTTACCATTAAGCAAGTTATGAGATCAGTCAACTCATTTCTGGTTTTAAGTGGGGAAGGTATTTTATCCCTTCTAGAGTTTATAATTTTTCCTCAAAGGGGCATATTGGTATTCAGAGCCAGTGGTACTTTTTTGTGCCTACAGTATCTTGGATCACCAAAGGAAAAACAAAAAACTCCCAAGAGCTGTGTGACTCGATCCTTTCCAACAAACTGTTGCCAACGGGTGCACGTGAATTGGTTTATACTGCAAATTCTTAGTTACGGTGCAGGCCGTAATACTGACACATTTCCTGCTGGTGTACCTGAGTCACAATGCATCTGTGCAGTAAGTGTCCGGGTGTTTTTCTACTGGCTGTTTTATTGAGCTAAGAGAGAAACCAACCAATGAAACTGCTGCCTCGCCACTGATATACAGTCCTGGCTTGGCGCAGGCCAGACGGGCTGACTTTTGTCATCACGCATTTCCAGCCAGCACACAGGAGAGGCAGAAAGAGGTATCTGGTCATGTTGGAGGAGATGAAAGTAAAGCTTAGCCCTGGTCTGCCAAGAAATGCAACTTCCTGTGAGCTCACATTCCAGTATTCAAGAAAAAACGGTCTTTTCAATCGGACATAAAAACATGACACATGAAAACTGGACCCACACTCTGACTTGCCCTCCTATTGAACTACTCATAGGCTAACACTCCAAACTCCACAGCTATGAACAGAGGTTCACCACTGATTGGAGGAAGGGTGCGTCTGATCTCATCTGATCTCACTACAAGCACCCAGAAAGTTGCAAGGGTTACTGTTTCACATGGAGCCAAGATCCTCCTGGCTCCCTCAGTGGTGCACTTGCAATTTAGTTATATGAAGTGAAACATACAGTGTTAGTGTTTAATTCTGTTGTGCAGTGTGTGGAATAATCACTGGAATATAGCAGTCACCAAACTGTCTCAAGGTCTGTTCAATTAGGATAGGGACTGACTTTGTAGAAACAATATTAATAGGTTTGCTCCTAACGAGCTTGTCAAGAGAAGGAGTTATCAAAGAATAAAACGTACATCACTCAAGCCCAAAACAGACCAGCCTGTCACATACTACACCAGACCATACTGTATAAAAAGTTAGAAGAGTTCAGTGGGACCAACTCAAAGCTACAGCTCTATGTGTATTGAGCTCAATAAAGCTGAATCTGCACAAGGCTGTCTACAGCTCCTCTGCTGAAGAATTCCCCCAACAGGATACATGGTCACTTAATTTTATTTCTGTGCAGTGGTTTTTCAAACATAGTCAAATACACAGTATGGCACAGACCTTCGAGTCAATTAGGATCATTGATCCAAAAACTGGGACTGGAACGACTCTTAAAGTGATCCTCACTTGTGGACAGAACTGTCTCAGCCTGTCTCTGTCTCCCAGATGTGAATCATACAGGACCAGGAATAGCTCAGTGCACTCCAATCCCAGTTCTGGCGTCCTGAGTTTCTCCTTGTGTGAGAATGAGTATGTGTGAGTGCGAAATGGAAAGGGGGGAAGAGGAGCATCATTTTAAAGGAAGAACCAACATTCCTCGACACATTGTCTGTTGTTGCCATGGGGACGGTAATATTATTAGACTGTACTTGCGTCAATACTCAGCATTTAACTAATATTATAGCAGAATGGAGCCTTCACCAAAATGGGTGCAGATGGAAAAAGGGTGATCCCAGGTTTTTTTTTTATTTCTACAATTATAGTAATTTTTTGTGAACTATCTCATGCGTCCTAACAGCAGGAGGAAAAAATTGGAAATAGGTGAGACTGTTTTTTATTTCCTGTCTTACGAGCTGTATATTGCGTAGATCCTAAAATGATATGTATTCCTGATATAAGTCATATTCCCATCCCTTCAGATTAGGCTAGATTTTTGTGTCTTCCCATAGAATGTCCTGCTATTATTTTGTGTAGTTAGATTGAGTAATTTTGCCGTTGGTCAGTTTGAATATCATCTGTTGTGATCTGGCTTCCACTGATCTGACAGTGTGGATAAGATCACAACGTACAGCTAACAAACTGTACAAGAATCCAGGCACAGATCTCTCAGACTGACGTAGTGTGCAAGTCTTGTATATTACGCCGATGTGAACGGCCTGCTTTCTCTTTGAAGCAAGGGCTACTTCTGACAAAAGCAAAGAATTCTTCTGAATTACGTCTGAATGATGTGACTCCCGAAAAGGAAGCACAGGATGAGATCTAAAGTTGAACAATATTTGTGAAAATGATGGTGGACGTTGGTGAGGTTTCTTGACGTGTCTTTTTGGATTGCCATTAGCCTCTGCTTGTCGTCCTCTGTACGCAATGCAAGCTCAGGAAAACAAAACATCTTGCCTGCCTGGGTTTTGTTTGGCTGCGGTGTCACTCAGGGCTCCACCTGTCTCGTTCCAGACAAGCAACACGATGTGGAGATTCTGTCCCCCACGCCCAAGGAAAAGGAGAAGAAGAAGAGGCCGATGTCTCAGATCAGCGGGGTGAAGAAGCTGACCCACAGCTCCAGCCTGGCCACCTCCAGCATCCCACGATTCGGGGTCAACACTGACCAGGAAGACCCCCTTGCAAAGGCACTGCGCTTATTGACTTCTCTCGGGTGATGCCCATTCTCGGTGTTCATTCTTACCCAAACTGCTCACCTACTGTAAATGTGAACATTAAAATAAAGCTTGACTTCCGTTTGGCACAGTGGCATAGTGGGTAGCACTGCTGCCTCACAGATCGATAGTCCTCGATTTGAATTCAACTTGGAGTGCCAGTCTGGGTGAGGTTTGTATGTGATTCCTATGCTTGCATCAGTTTTGCTCTCACCAATCAAAGACGTGCAGGATAGGATCTACTGGCTTTGGGACTGTAAAGGGATTTCTGATGTGCTTCTCTGTTCCTTAAAGTGAAAAGAAAGAGTTTTGTGTTGGTATTTTCAGTGTTCTTGCAGCATCACTGCAATTTAATAAGAATGTAAGAACAAGAGATGACGCTTGTTTAGTGGAGAGTATCTCTTTGCATCCTGCTGATTTTTGCAGCAGCTCTTTAAAAGGTAATCATCCCAATTGTGTCTGGGCCATTTCTATGTTTTTGGTTTGCCAACATTTAGGACAAGGTGTAGCTCCAGACAGATTGTCTTTCTTTTGCAAAGCAGGTAGCAATGCAATTGAATGACTGTGACCTCCCTGGAGTGATAATAATTGTTAATTTCCAGACAGCAATGTATAATAATTGTATAACCAGAAATCCTTTGTTGTCAAGCATTGGTGAGCAAATGAGGAAATCGGCATGATTGGAAAATGCTACTGGCAGCTTTAAAACTGGGCACACGGGACAGAAATAAACCCTGAAAATGGGCAACTCTCCTTAACATCAGCTGATAGTATGAGTATGTCTCTACCTGGTCTGTTCGCTCTTGACTGGGGGGCTTTGGGAATAATGATTATACAGCCACAGGTTAACACTGGGGCTTAGTGGGCTAGAATAGTTTTGGCAATTGCTCAGTTTTATTTGGTGGACAGGAACCTGTTTGAATGGACAAATAAAGAGGAAGTGACTGTTTTCACATTAGTGTGTCACTGTCTTTTGCTCAGTCTTTTTGCTGTTTTTTTTTTTCCAGGAAATTGAAGATATCAACAGATGGGGCTTGGATATTTTTAAGATAGCGGAGTATTCTGGGAACCGCCCTCTAACAGTGATGATGTACACTATTTTTCAGGTATGGATTTGTTGTTGGTTACAAACGAATTAGAGATGGTTACATCTCATCATCCACAGCCTTAGGGACACCTAACTTTCATTCCTTTTTTATATTATTTGAACTTGTCGTTTGTAGAATCAGTTATTTGCAACAATTTACCCAGGCCTTAATTATTGACACTTTAAAGACATCAATACAAACTGAAAGAGTGTGACTCCAGTACCATGAATCGTTAAAACCCCCGTTGGTTAACACCATATATTAGCACTCATTCCAACCTACTGCACCTCTGAAAGTTTCAGCTCATGTTTCAAAAATGCAGCTTTCCCAAAACAGTGCAACATGCCACACACATAGTTTTATAAATAACATTTAATTATCTAAATTCAAAACAACTCTAGTTCTCCCAACAACTAACTCAGCTGGTACACTACTGGGGTAAAAACCATATAGGTTTGAATTTACTGTGAGCTAAATATATCATTTTAAGCTTGTCTTTTTTATATTTGAAGCATATTAATTTCACATGTACTAATACTACGTTTATTTTGGATCTGTTAAAATTCTGAAACATTCCTGGATTCTGTTTGAAAATTAGATTACTGATTTATGAAACAACAGCAGCAGACAGGAAAATAACATTGCTTAGCAGTTTGAACAATTTTGGCCTTAGCAAAGCTGCAGACTCTTATACAAACAGAGACCAGGTGCTGGATATTTCTGGATATTTCTTTTATCTCATTTTACGCAAATAGGATATAAATGGAATATACGATTATATCCATATACGGCGCAAGTTTTCACTTTCATGCTTTAAGGCCATGACTTGTACAAGAGTGTGCAACTTGTGAAGCCTGACGCAGATCGAGGCAGTCTTGTCTCCTTCCGCGGGTTGTGATTTAAGGAAGGGTGTCCTGTTGTGATCAGGAAAGAGAGCTGCTGAAGTCCTTTAAGATCCCAGCGGACACGTTCATCACCTTCATGATGACCCTGGAGGACCACTACCATGCTGACGTGGCGTATCACAACAACATCCACGCCGCGGATGTGGTGCAGTCCACCCACGTCCTCCTGTCCACGCCAGCGCTGGAGGTGAGCCTCAAACAGAAACCCCAGCCATTTATACCACAGCTCAGTCTCAGTGCTCATATTTCTTCAGCCTTTGAATTTTATTTGCGTTTCATATCTAACCAAATAATAATATAGTCAAATAATATCATTAAGAATAATTTTAATAGATTAAAACAGAAGTTTAAATTGCCTTGAAATTAGTCATCTTTTTCCCCCAGCATTTGTGAATCAACGATGAGTTTTACTTTTACATTGTGCTCAGATAGATATGAAAACATACTAGTACACTGCAAGACAATTCCCTGGACATTTGCTCTGAGTTTTGAACGGAGGCATTGTGTGCAGTTCTTTCTAACACAGATCATTGTCTTTTCCAGGCAGTCTTTACTGATCTAGAAATCTTGGCTGCTCTTTTTGCCAGTGCCATTCATGATGTGGACCACCCTGGCGTGTCCAATCAGTTTCTCATTAACACAAGTGAGTGGCCTCCTGTGGTGGGGAGGGTGCTTCTTTGTCACTTCTGCTAACAAACCATGCTAATGCTCACTGGTGACAACTGTGTTTCCTAGTTATTGTTGAGAACTATAGTGGTTGGGTCTAGCTATTAATCCTATGAAACCACAGCAGGTTGACAGAGCTTGTCCTTTGTTGAAGCTGCACAGTAATCTCAACACATGCCAAGGTGCTGCTTTATGGTTAAACCCTATGATTGTCTGGCTTGAAGCAGCACAGGGCCAACGTACAAGTTGTGTGTGTGATACTACTCAGTGATGGTAGTTGGCTGTTGATATATTCCACTAAATAGAGTTCTAGGCAAAGAGCCATAGGAAAATCATTACAAACAAGCCTTTGGACAGCTACCTTACAGCATGTGTCCAGCCTACTACTGAACTTAAGCTTGGGCGCTGGGTGTCCTTCTCCCTGGTAGTCTTCCCTCATGGGATTTGTGGTTTGCGTGTCTTGCTGACAGACTCAGAGCTGGCCCTGATGTACAATGACTCCTCCGTCCTGGAGAACCACCACTTGGCTGTGGGCTTCAAGCTGCTCCAGGAGGAGAACTGTGACATCTTCCAGAACCTGAGCAAGAAGCAGAGGCAGTCGCTGCGCAAAATGGTCATTGACATGGTGGGTGTGAGCAGAGGGGGCTTAGCACCAGGGTAGGACAGGGGGGACTCAGTGAGTCCGGGATTTAGAAAGATGGCGAGGAAGAGGCTAGCATAGGATTAGTTACACTTACTGTATCCATTTCAGGATCTTAATTTCAATCAGTTCTTTTTCAATGAAGTGATTGATTAAAAATCTATTTAGAAACGCATTAAGAAGCTCAGAACTGCCATCAGTTCAGTCAGTTTTTTAAATTTTTTGTTTCTTTTTGTCAGTAACCACCACCTCAAAGCCATACTAGTATATTATAAACAACTGCATTAGAATAACACCACCAAGATCAGGATCTAGAGTTTTACATTGCAAGATGCTGATAAAATTAATACATTTTGAACTACAGATGTGATCATGACCAACGGTATAGGATTCCCCCCCCAGCTAAATGCCACAAAAGCCAGTGTTATCGTCTCATTTGCAGGTACTGGCCACTGATATGTCAAAACACATGAACCTACTGGCAGATTTGAAGACAATGGTGGAGACGAAGAAAGTGACGAGCTTAGGAGTGCTACTGCTGGACAACTATTCCGATCGGATTCAGGTTAGAAACTGGGATACAGGGGAAAAAAGATCATATTGATGATACATGGGCTGAATTTGAGATTGGGGAAAAAATATCACGGAAATGTGGAACTGGCTTCTCCAGGGTATGACGGATATCTTTTTCCAGGAAATATCTTTTTGTAGACATTAAAACTGAAGTAATCAGTGTGAATGATTTGGAGTGTCGAAAACAGGCAAGAGAATGTGTGAATTTGTGTGAATGTATGCCTGAATTGCAGTTGTAGTTGTGGTTTAGGGATTTGTTCCCCAAGCGGTTCACCTAGCCAGGGCTTGGTGATGCAGATCCACTCCGCCCTGCCTTCTCGACTCAGGACGGCTGCTCTTCCAGGTTCTCCAGAACATGGTGCACTGCGCTGACCTCAGCAACCCCACCAAGCCCCTGGAGCTGTACCGCCAGTGGACTGACCGCATCATGGTGGAGTTTTTCACGCAGGGAGATCGCGAGCGGGACAAGGGAATGGAGATCAGCCCCATGTGTGACAAGCACAACGCCTCCATTGAGAAGTCTCAGGTACAGCAAGGAAACAGGCCATCAGGCTGCTTTCTTTACTGCTTGGTAGTCATGCTGTCTACTTATTGGTTTAAATCCTACTGTTTCCTCTTGCCTAGCTAGCACGAGCTCTTCCAGCTTGTGCAAGCCTTATCATTTTATTATATTATCTTTTTGTTTGTACATGATTCCTAATTCCCATATGAAGAATTCACGTATGAGTCACCCTGAATAATGGCGTCTGCTAAAGCAAGTATCGATGAATAATACAGCAGCTAATAACGGCCAGGTCACCTGTCCCACCAATTAACAGCACTGTGATACAGTGCATTTCCACTCCTGTTCCTCTGGAGGTCCTGATGGTATCTATAGCAGAGTGGAACCAACAAGCCTGGCTGGTGTTTTGGTGCAAATTGCTTAAGAACATTGCTAGAAGGAACACCTTGCAGACACACTGGCCCTCCAGGACAAGGGACCAGGATTAGACAGCCCTGATTTAGAGCGTTAAGAGAAGAGTTGACCTCTCTTCTGTCATGCTCAAAGGAATCTGAAAAAAAAGATAAGTAGTGAACTCTCAGGAAAAAAGACAGCCACGATGACCCTTTCATCGTTTTCCAGGTGGGCTTCATCGACTACATCGTCCACCCGCTGTGGGAGACCTGGGCCGACCTGGTGCACCCCGACGCTCAAGAGATCTTGGACACCCTGGAGGACAACCGAGAGTGGTACCAGAGCATGATCCCTCACAGCCCCTCCCCTCCCCCCGAGGAGAGGGAGAAGGAGGGAGTGACCGCGGGAGACAAGTTCCAGTTCGAGCTGACTCTGGAGGAAGAGGGGGAGTCGGACAGTGAGAGCCCCACGGAGGACAGCAGTGGGGAATCTAGGACTGTGGGCTCTGGGGAGTTGAGCCAGGACTCCCCCAGCCGGGAAGCCTGCCCTGGTCTGGACTTCTCAGCTAAGGACAATGCCAGAGCCCCGACGAACACTCCTGTTCAGAGCCTGGCGCAAAGGACGTTGCCTGGAGACAGTTCTCCTGAGGTGGACATGAGCCCTAGCAGGGGAACAAGCATAGAAAACAACGAGCTAGACCAAGAAGGGAACGTGACGTGCCTTCCACTGGGTACATAACAAAAGAGAGATGCACTTTTGTTTTTTTTTTTACTTTTCCCATTTGCCTGGCTTGCAGTAGTGGTCTTAATGGTAGCGGAGAGGTTAAGGGGGCTTCCAGCACTGTCTGTCAGGCAGACAGCAGTAGCCGTACACTGGAGTTGCTTCTGAGACAACACCATGTCATGGATTGTTGTACTTGATTTTTCCTACCGTCACGAGGAGCGAGCAACACCAGAAGAATTCTAGTTTTTGCCAAATGCTTCAGTTGTTGTTGTTTTGTTTTTTTCAGGGTTGGGGTGGGGGGTAGGGATGGGGGCTTTTGGATTTCGGGAAAAGCACCTCGGCACAGAGAAGGATCCAATGGCCACTGCAGCTTCCGTTCGGCCTGCGGTTTGTGCCGTCGTCGCGGAAACGGTGTCAAGCAGACCAGCTGCTGCAAGGCCTACTGAGAGACAGAAAGGAACTACAGAAAGGAACTCTACCAAGAAACGTCTTCCTTTGATCGACTGTATTTACCATTTGTAAGAAGACAGAATAATAACACAGGGTCTCGGGACTTTTGTACCAAACATTAAGTGAAAGTTTATTTGACTTTTAAAGAATAATAATCGATATTTGTTTTGCCTGTTCGTACCTCATACTCCTCTGTTTTGAACATTTGGAGAACACTCACTATTACTTTGCCTACGGTTCTACCAAATACATACCTGAACAGTATAAACACCCCATTAACATTAACCTCAGGGTATGAAGGAGAGAGAACTACAGATTTCTAATGTAGCAAAGACATCTTGGGTATCCCTGCAAATACAGATGGGCCCGATATGCCTTATAGATCTGTGGCACATGAGCTTAATTTGGCTCTTTTCTTTTTTAACTTTTGCTCAACAGTTTTCCACCTTTAGAGGACAGGCCTTTCCAAGGCTTCTGTCATTCTGGGCTTGTGATCCCATATGTGTTTGTTTTTTTAGGTCATATTTCAACAAAAAAGGCTGAGTGAGAAGGGCAGTTGTAACGATAAGTTAAAGAAGCCTCACTAGGTACAGGAAACGAGGCCTGTGGGTCCCCAGGGATCCGGATTTTGTTGCCGGTCTGCAGTCTGTTTCAGTTCAGCCTTGAATCAAGCTGGTCTTTTCATTTTCAACAAATTCCTGTGCTCGTCAGTTTTAAACCAACACACAGCAACAAAACACTTTTAGTGTAAATAAGTATTTTACTAAATGTCAGAAGTGAGAGGTTTATATTGCCCTTGTTACCTCCCAGTGCCTAAACCTCAGAACACACAACGTTACGGATAAGAGGACACCAACTGGCCTGTCCAGCTCATTTGGTTGCAAGGTCAATTGGTCTAAACGATTACGTGGAAGATGCCAGCGTTGACGCCAGAGGTGCGAAAAGTTGTAAGATTGTAACCAGCAGCCAGGGAAAGCCATGATGTGCAAAAACTGCACATGTTTTGTGATAGTGTTCTTCGTACCAGCAGCGGAATAACATAGGTTCCCCCCCATGGTCAGTCACTTACTGAAAAAGTCATTGAAGATTCTCGAATATGTTGACAGTACCGCCCCCTAACCACTACCAAATGCGCACCAATTTCTCAAATTCAGTATATTAAAGACAGCGAGCATAGCACACAGTTCTGTCAGGGCTCTGTAATTCCAGCTTTTGCGGGCAAAGTTTTTTCAGGTGTTTTAGGCTTTCTAAACTAATCACCCCATTACTTATGAAAGAAGTTAAGAAAATCCAGTTAAGAGTTAATGGTCCCTCTTAATTCTTTCCTGCTGGTCTTATTGCAGAACACCAGCAAAAAACATTGCATCATGGTCTTCATGACCAGAACTGGGATACCCCTGTTCTAGATAATTCATGCCACAATCCTTCAAAGATTGTGCTTTCAATGTGATTGACATTCCAATGATCCAGGGAACCTCTGTTCTTGTTTTTAAGCCAGGCATTTATTCATTTGAGGGCTCTCTGCTGTAACCATATGAAAGCCCACACATTTTTGATCTTATAGGGAGCAGGTCATCCTGTGTACTGCATACCTCTTCCTAGTTTTAAAGTAAAAAGCTTTAGAAATGGCTGGCTCTGTCCAGAAACATGCTGTCAAAACTCTTTCTAAAGTATAGTGTGTGTATACAGACAACTGCTGAATGTTTGGCGCCCCCTGTCAACATAGTGTGCAGCTGCACCCAATTTAAAATTGTATTACACCATCATGTATTACATGTGCTTATATATTGGTGTTAATATTGATAAGGGAATATTGATAAAGGAAATGAATTAAGAGAATGTAGATTATTTCATGGGAACACTACCTGCCCTGCAAATACCTGGCTAGTGGCAGCAAGCTGTCAATGGAACTGAGCTCTGCAGTGAGACAGAAAATATGACCTGGAAAAATTCGAATGCTCTTAAGTATTGCCTTTCACATGAGGCGGTTCAAGGGCTACGTACTGTAGATGCGTTATTGCCAGTAATGCAAACCGATAAATCAGATCAAATGCCTAGAGCTGTAGAATCCCAGTATCCACTGGCTTGGAAGAAAGGTCTGTTTAAAATTCTGTTTTACAAAGCAGCAGTGAGAGAAGAGGTAGCGCAGCAGGAATATTATGACATTCATAATATGTCAGGATCCAGTGTGTGTCAGGGGCCGGTCAACAGGGATACCCCGTGTTTCATACCGAGACGTCAGTCCTCTGTGCTCAGCGAGTGCCGTTCTTGTGATGCCGTGGCGGTCTGTAACGCGGTTTGCTTTGCTCTAATCTAAAGCTGTCGCCACGCGTCTGTACGCCGCCGACGCCTCCGCGGCGCTGCTGGTCGAGGACCGTCTCCCTGGATGGCGGCTCTGTTTTCAGGCCACCTCAACGATAGCACTTTACCCCCCCTGTCCTGCCTGACCGCCCCCGTCCACCTAGAAGGGCCCCATCCAAACGCCATTCCCACGGGAGGTTGGCCCACCGAGCCTCCCCCACATCTGGAGCCTCCAGATGAAACACTCGGCCGTCACACTAGGCAGCAGAGCCTGAACAAGGAGTTCAGGAGTTGCTCTTGCCACCTGAGAAACAATGCCCAGATAATTCAGCCGCCTTCGTATTTTACGAGGCGAGGCCGAGTCTGAACTTAAGGTGATGAACTGGGAGCTGTGTAGCAACCCAGCTTTCTGTTACCCTCCCGTCTGTGGTCAAACACTCCCTGTGCAAACATGATGGGGTTTATGAAGCCACATGGCTGAAGAAGGCAACTGTATCACTGAAGGATGTGCGTGCACTTGACTTCTTCTACCTATTCATTTGCCAAATAGCTGCTATTTTCCATATACTGTAGCTGACCGTATGTTTGTACAAGCACGTACACATGGGTGAGGAATACGTCCTTTATTTCATGGTTTTATGTCTTGCACAGGGACACCTCAAAAGACAGCGCAGGTTCCAAGCCAGCATGACACAACATGCTTTGGAAATTCCATTCCAAAAGATCCACAGATCCCTCCCTTGGTGACAGTGGATCCTTCTGTACTTTTATTTATTTTTGCATGAATATGCCAGATGACATTATAAACAGGTGGTAAACAAAGCCTAGTGTCCCTTTGTTTTTTACTGGCTGCTGTATAAATACTGGGGTGCCATCTTGTCTTGTCACTATCGCGCAAACCATGATAACAGCAGCTTGTACTACATTGTGCATCACAGCACATGGAACAGGGTTTATCTAGGCTGTACCTGAGCCAGACGGAAAGTATTTTTCCAGGGTGATGTGCCATAAACACAGCTGTGAAGAATGCCATGGTGAACTTTCCTAAACGATGGCCCTGCTGCACATAAAATTAATTTGCAAATTGCAATTGAGTTGTCAGGGAGAAGCAGGCAGTTTGCTTTCCATGAGGCTTAATGGAAAGGAAACATCAATATGATATATTATATAATAATATGCAGTAGATCACAGTATTATAAAATATATGCTATGTATTAAACTGTATCCTAACCTAGACCTCAGAAACTGTGCTGAACACATGGAGGTCAAATGGTCTCTATACCAGCTGGAAAAGGTGACGAGTCGAGACCTTTGTGAAAAGATATTGGAATTGGTAAGCAGCGCCAATCTGATGAGCACTTAGGCTTCTTGGGGTCTTTAGCAGAACCACCTCCCTTCCTCCCCACTGGAAACTGTGGGTGTCTGGTGTCATGAGTTTCCTCAGTCGAGAGCAACAGCAGCAAGAACCTCCCCTTCTCAGTTGCTAACAACTTTCACAGTGCCATGCAAACGTCCCAACATGAGCCCAACCTCCATACTGCATTACTGTATGATTTTATTTCCTTGTACATTCTGTAAAGTTTGCTATTTATTCTTTGTACGTATCTCTGATATATGAAGTGCTATGCGGAGCCTCTGTCTCTTGTACCGGAGCCCAAGGATTCAAGTGTACCTTCTGAAAGAGGACCAGGACAGTTGAACCACTACGACGAATGTTTACCATTTTTAAAAAAACCAAAAGACTCCAGGATTCAGGTTGCATATGAGGGAATAGCACTGTGTTGTATGTGAAGTCCTATATATATATATTTGTTTTGTTCAGTCTGAATTTACTGCAGTCTAGACAATCCAAACACCAATGTTTACTACTGATTTGTATTTCTGTCTCACCTGATGACTGTACACGTCCTCTTTGTCATTAAAAACAAGAAGGGTCAAGCTTTTTGGCTCGGCGTGTTTTTATCTTCTTGTGTTCCCTGACACCCTCGTGCATCACAGAAAGATCTTGCCAGAAGTATTCCCATTGCTGATGGCTTCAATGTAGCAGAATACTAAGTTTGGAGTTCTATAGAAATACAGGAACTTACAGTACACATGATAATCCATGTAAAAGTACAAAGGAAATGCACTATTCATTGAAACATTTTATATATAAATATATTTTAAAAAATACAAGGTAATCTTTGTCTTTCTTGCACCCGTAAATACAATATGATATATTAGACTAACCTTATTTAAGAATTCTGGAGAACTGCAAGAGTCCAAGCCGCAAAGTAACCTTCCTTAAAAAGTCTCGAACTCAAACGTTCAGACACAGCAAAACTCACAGACTGAAAAGGGACGGAACAAAGCGCTTAGCTACAATTACTGCAACAGTTTGTCAGAATAATTGTTGTAATGTTAGCATCGAGATATGTAAAAATGAAAATCCCCGGTTAGGGTACTTGTAATATAAAGTTTATTTAAAGAAATGGTACCAATGTGCATACTAGTTACAATCTCATTTTATTTCCTCGAGATGTCCACCTGTTAAAAAACAGTGACGCAAAGTGATCAAGGTACTGTAGGAAAAAAATCTACACCCAAGGTCGAGATTGCAGAGCGTGGGAGACATCTAGTGTTGATACTGTATGTAAAATAGACACTTTTGGTAACAATACAAAAAAGTTATTTTAACATAAGATATTTTAACAGTACGTTTGAAAACTAGCAATTACTCGAACGTTGACAAATTGTAAAGTGATATGTCAGATTGCATCCTGAACAACTCAAGACAAAATGGACCGACGTCCTTAATTTGAACAAATATTATGTACCGATTGGTTTGATTTGAATAATTGTTATTAGATTACACGTCTGTTCCAGTTTCGGCGTCCTCAAGATTGATCCATCATTGTCAATAATACTGCAGGCTACTGTTATATTCTCAGCTACACAGAAAAACATTATCTAGCCGTACACGGTCACGTGTCCTCCCGCACCGGTATCACGTGGCCGTACATAAGCAATACCTATATTTCCTTGCCACACTTTTTCCTGTTGAAACTAGAACAGACTGATTATATTGTTTTTATCCAATGTGATAGTACCAGCCGGTTTTAACAAATCACCGTTAGCACAAGAGTGCTGCACACTTTACACGGTGAAAAGCAGTAGCATCACAGTCTGAGCAGTTGTCCTCCTTCCCTAGAGCGGCAGACCAGGGAAATAACGACTGCGGCGGTGGGCTGTACTGGGGGGCACCTACGGGCCGCTCAGTTGCGGTCATTTAATAATAATTCCTTTATAGCGCCTTTCTGAGCACTCCACTCAAAGCACTTAACAGTAATGGGGATCCCGTCCACCACCACTGTGCAGCCCCACCTGGATGATGGGGCAGCCAGAGGGCAGCAGTACTCTCTCAGTGGGGAGGAGAGCAGGGCGATGAAGCCAGTTAATAGATGGGGATTACTAGGAGGTGTCGTGGTCTGCATGATTTATATTTGCTATGCATGAAGGCCCGTAGGTGTCAAGCAACCTACTAAAATTGCCTTTTTTAAAATGACATTCTGTGTTCGGGCTGCGATGCATGTCAGATACACCCCGTCGTATTTAGTTATTCATCCGTACAAAAGTCTTCTTGCTGTAGACGCAGGAAGCTCGATGGGGGCTGTACGGGCCTACACGCCATCATCAAGATGCCAACTAGTCCGGAATGAACCGTTGAGCAATTCTATTTAAAAGGCGACAAATGTCTTACGTCGCATTGGTGTTGCAGTAATTCAGAAATGTATGCATATTAATTCCTAGGGTACGTTATTATTATATATTATATCTATATACAGAATTAGACACGGTTTTTAAACTGATTACTACACATCAACGCTCTTTTCTCCCAACAGCGAAATACCACAGCAATGCAACAGAAGAAGAGAAATCAGATTCTTGTCACAAAGAACGTCAGCATCGACGAGGAAAACAACAACAACATAATTGCAATCATGCAGAAACGATGAAAACGCTCAATTCAGCGGGTAAAGCTGTTTCGCTCCAAATATCCAGAAACGAGTCACAATAATGAACATTTTGAAATATTCTCCGTGAGGACTAGATCCTTTGGGCGACAGCACAAGAGCCGAGGCAGTTTTCGTCCTCGCCGTTTAAATTCCGTTTTTTTTCCCATGAATTATGCAGAGATCAGCCGGCCTTTCGTGAATAAGTAAAGAAGGGACGGGCCGCGCGCGTGCTGCCTGCGAGAGCGCGGCGCGCGGATTCGCTGGCGGAGGCCTCAGTCGGCCCGCCTCCGTGCTCCGCGGCTGTCAATCAAGTGACGTCCACGGTTTCTGCAGGTGAGCGGAGAACTGCGGCACTGGTGCATTCGCAGCTGCAGCGAGAAATATATCGACGGTAAGCAGTAACACGGCGTTTTTAAATATTTAGAGCTTTGCTGCTCGATCGCTGGCGAAAAGATGCGCTGTTTTCACCATTTCTGCTAGTATGGGTGCGGGATAGAGTCTCTGGTTGACACAAAACGCACGAATAACCTTCATTTGACTTACGATGCTTAAAGAGCAATAGTCAGTGCAGAAGATGAGAATACAGAAAGCCATTTTTTGCCGGGGGGTATTACGGGATATACACTGTTGTCTCTATGTAGCCTTTCAAAACGCACCGTGAAGGCTTTTAAGTAGATAATAGCTTGGAAAACGTCGATTTCGTTTGGTACCGCCACTCTCATATGTTGACAACGTTTGAAAGGGAGTACCGAAATAATACCGAATTGTAGTGGAGAGGCTGCGATGGATTAGGGACGGTGCATCGTTTCAGCCTTCACAGCCGTCCCTGGGCGCAGATTAAGGAGTATCAACTCGAGAGGACAAACCTTTCATTAAAGAGAAAAATATGAGTATTATGTTGCCCTGCGTTAGCGAGGGAACACAATACTGGCAAATGCACAGTAATCCATCATGTATTAGTTGATGAAATCATACTGACACACTGTATGAATAGGCAGTAGCGAGCCATTAGTACATCACACTGTACAGTGTTCCAGCAGCGCACATAGATTTATTTACCTGTACCACCGAAGGCATTACTTGAATGAATGTGTAGGTTCCGGTGTCCAGTTACATAGGCAGGCTTTTAAAGTTTAATTTTCGAGGCAGGGGCATTGCAAGAGCTGCCTCCGGCGATTCAATGAGCTCCGCTTGTCCGTGTGCGTCCTGGTCACGGCCCGTGACCACCGGCTCGGCGAGGCGTGGAACCGATCCCGGGGCCGGCACAGACACGGATACAGTTACTGCGCTCGGGCGGCGAGCTGTGGATATGTAATCGTTCAGGAGGTGCGAGGCTGTAGGCATCTTGACCCTGCCTGGGTTTATTCCGGCATGCAATTTTTCATCTTGCGCAGTGGGCACACATTCGCACCGGTACCCGACAGGAGTGCTCAATCGTGACCATGACGGTGCGTTTTATTTATTAGTTGTG